GCCGGGCGGGGACCGGGCGTCGCGACCCGAGGGATTTCCTGCTGCAGGGAGTCAGCTCCGAACCCCTCGCGCAGCGCCCGCGCCGCTGGTGAGCTAGTCTAGGCTTTCATTTTTTTTAAAAAAAAGTTTTCCCCCCGTGTGTGCGCGCGCGCGCTGTTCTGGCAGGAGCCAGCCTTGACCGTTGCAATAAATGAGCAAACTGTCCGAGTTGGCCCGGGGACGAGGAAGATCGTTAGTGAGAGAAGGCAGGCCTGTGAAATGGATCCACGGCCAACAGTCACCGTTCTCATTACCACGGAACAAATTATCGTCTCCCCCGCACCCCCGCCCGCCGGCGGCGTCCCGCGGGTCCTAGAGACCGCTCAGGGTGCCCCGCCAGGGTCCCGCCCAGAGCCGGCGCTCGCCCACCCCCGGGGGCGGCTCGGTGCAGGGCGCCTCCCGGGCCGCGCGCCCTGGCGGCACAGACGTGGCTCCGTGGAGGCGCGGGCGCCCGGAGCGCACACATCCCCGCCCCAGGATGATGTGGCCGCGGGGCCCGGGGCGCCCGGCTGCCAAGAGCACACGCGGCTGCACGGTCCAGCTTTCCAGTCTGAGGCTGGAAATGATGACTCGGCTGCTCGCTCCCCGGCTCGCCGGGAACCCGCGGAACGCGAGTAGCAAGTCTGAAAGGCCGTCCACTGGCCGGGCGGGCGTCCCGGGGACCATCCCCTAAACCGCCAAATGGACACCTCGTGCCTGAGAAATAAGCTTGGACTCCTAGGCACACGGCCTCTGGGCATTACGCTTTGATGTATTGCTTTAGGTTTTATGTTGATAGATTGATCCACGTTTCTTTTCCATGGCATGGACTCAGAAAAGGGTGTACGGTGATGTTCCCCAAACTTTCCTGGCATCTGGGTTTGTCTGTTAAAAATGCAGATTCCCAGGCGCTCTGCCCCCCACGCCTTTGGACTGAGACTCTCCGGGCGGCCGCGGAGTCCGGGGAGCGCCAGGTGTTTGGGAAACACCAACCAAGTGAATGGACTGTCTGGCCTTCAGTCTTGGCTGGTCTCCGCCTCTTGCCCCTGACAGCCTCGCGGAGCCATTATGTCAGTTTTTATAAAAGGACTCGTTGCCCTCTCAGAGACCAGGGAGCAGCAGCCAGGGGGCTACCCAGACTGAAGGAGCTGACTGTATCAAGGAAGGTTGCCACCCGCCTTGGGGGGCTACAGTGATCCCCAACCTTGGAGACGACTTAGAACCGACAGAGTTAACGAGATAATAACAGCCCCACCCAGATTAATTAACTCAGAATCTCCTAAAATGGGCGGAACCTGAATAGTTTTCAAAGCCCCGGTGATTCTGCTGTGCACCCAGGGCGGAGAACCACCCGTGGAAATCTGCCCCGTGACCTCCCACCAGTTCCTGAGGAGGCTCCATTCTAAGAGGCCATTAGCCAGCGTTGGAGGAAACCCCCTTCCTCACCATTTCTTCCTACTGGAAAGTATCTTTTCTCACCGTCTGCCTCCCACCCCCAGGTTTTGCCGTGTTCCAAGAACCAGGTCAACCCTGTCAACAAAGTGCAGACCTTTTTTAAAAAACCAAAAGCCAGAGACACTGGCCCAAAGGCCCCCTCTCAGTGCCAGGACATCTCAACACTCCATCTGGAAGTGAGGCCTGGGTCCAAGCCCCACTCTGAGTCCAGCCCTGCTACTTCCCGGCTCTGCTCTGCATGGCCTTCTTTGTCCATTCATTCTCTCCATCAGCACTTAGCAACGCTGTCTTAGGGACCTGGGAAACCAAACTGATGAGAGAGGCCTCCTGCCTTCAAAGACTTTTCTGTCTGGTAGGACAAACTGATAAATCACAACTATTGAACGGTGTGAGCTGGTTACTTAACCTATTTAATAATCATCCAGTTGTTTGTTAACTAGTACGTTATTTATCACATACTTCATATAATCGGAGTATTGTGCTAGCATGCTTCCCATGCGTTATTCCGTTTTAAAATCCTGAATTTCCGGATGAGGAAACTGCAGTGGATAGAAGTTAACTAGCTTTCCCATAGGTCACAGCCCACACCAGATCTGTTTGCAGGTACAGCCTGTCTTGAGCTCTGACTTCCAAGCTTCACGTGCAACATCTGTTAAGTGGAAGTAAAATTCAAACCTCCCACGTGGCAGTGAGCATGAAATGAACTAATGCAATGCCTTCCCAGCCCACAGGGATTCCTATCTGTGGTCAGAATTCAAATCCCGTGGTATTTGCACTGGAGATTCTTCTTAGGAAAGTCTGGGAAGGATAGTTTTAGCAAGTTCTCAGGTGGTTCTGATAAATTGTGTTCCACAGAACTTTCAGAAACACTGTGCAAGAAAATTAAACATTGTTTCCTTTGAGGTCAATGGGACAGCCGAGCTTTAGGACAAGTCAGCTGCTGGCCTCTGGAATCTTCTGACAGTTAAATTGTTTATTCATAACAGACCTAATATATGCTGTGCACAGGGCTAGGGGCTTTATATACTTTCTCGCCTAATGATCCATTTATTTTTGTTCTTTAATATTCAGTTGTTACTCTTGACTATAGAAGTCCAATTTTTTTTTAACCTGGAAGTTGCAAAGCTCTCTCCAAAGAGCTAAATGTGCCCGGAGACTGTCCTCGGTTTGTGTTTGACTGAATGAAACAAAACAGCCAATGCAAAGGGAAAAGCTAGACAGGAAAGAAAGAATCCTAGCCACAAGCCCTGGTTTCTCAACCTTCTAATTCCCCGTCTCTGTGAAGCAAGGAGCCTGGGCTGACACTCTCTCCATAGACGTCATGCTCGTCAGTAACAGCCAGCCAGGCAGAGAGAAAATCTTACGTCCGGCAGATGGTCAGCCTTTGGATGGGAGCTCTGTCGCCTCATTCACAGGAAACGGAAGCTGACATGGCATTCAATACTGGATTGTTAGGTAATGGTATGGGGTCAGAGGCCAGGATCTGCTCATTAAAATTTCAGATAGATGGCTTGTTGTCCCTTCCTCGCCAGAAGAACTGACCTTTGCGATGCTGTTTCCTGGTGCTATTTTTGTTCAACAGCCTGCATTCACAATGAACAGGGCACTTATTTCTTACCCAAGCTCACATTTAGCTCAATCCACTTTGAGTACAAGCAGATGAAAACTGGAGGCAGATTTTCCTAAGCCAGGCGTTTACAGGCGGCCACTCCTGATTTCTGCAGGAAGTAACGGGCCAGCCTCCTTGCAGGTCCACCTGTTGCTGGAGCTTCAGACACAGGCTCACAGGACAGCTTTGATCCGTCCAAGCACAGCTCCCGAGGCTTGCCGCAAAAGCCAACAAACAACCGCCCCATGATTAAGATTCTCGGAAATCTTTTTATTCCATCTCTTGGGGAGACTGAAACTCATGACCCTCTCAGCCTATAATAACATGTAGTCCATTTTTCTTTTCATAGATCTTCTCACTTCAAGAATCCATGCCTTCACCTCCTCAGAGATCTGCTCCCGAGAGCCTCCTCTGGGCAGATTAACCCCTCTTGGCTCTGATACTTCCATTACTGCCTGCAATCAGTACTTAAGTAGCCTGTCCAAACACCAGAGAAATAATGCTCTTGGGGGGATCAGGGACTCATGGATGCTGTGGGTCAGAAGGGACATGGAAGGTCACTTAGGCTAGCTCCCCCCATCTGTACTCATCTGTGTCACCTGCCAATTGACGATCCAACTTACCCTTATATACCTACTGTGATGGGGGACTCATTACCCTCCAAGAGGGCCAATTTTTAAAGTACCCCAAGTGACTGACAATGCTCAGGAGGAACAGAGAGCCACCACAGCCAGAACACCAGCTGCTGAGAGAGCCCTCCTGGCTGCCCATGCCCATCCTCTCCCATGATCCTTGGGGCAGGCTGAATGAAAAGACAGTGCTGAGAGAAAGGCAAATGGGGAATCTCAAAACAAATATAAACTCACTACAAGAATGACCAAATATTCCAAGATCCTCCTTCATTCAAGAAATAAAGCTTAATCTCCTTCCCCCTTAGTGTGGGCTTGGCTTGGTGGCCCATTCTAATGAATAAAATGTGGCCAAAGTGACAGTCTATGAGTCTGAGATGAGATCAGGAAAGTTCTGAGTGACTCAGATCACTCACTCAGGGGAACCCAGCTGGCCCATGGAGAGGACACTCAAGCAGCCCAATGGGGAAGAACTGAGGGAGAAGCTGAGGTCTCCTGCCAACAGCCCCGTGAGTGAGCCATCTTGGAAGTGGACTTTCCAGCCCCGGTCAAGCTTTCAGATGATGGCAGCCCAGGGCAGTGTCTGAGTGCAGCCTCCAGAGAAACCCTGAGGCCAACCATCCAGCTAAGCTGCTCCCAAACTCCTCTCCCACAGAAATTGCAGGAGATAATGAACGTTTGTTGTTTTGAGCCACTAATTTGGCCGGGGGGGGGTAGGGAGGCGGGGGTAATGTGCTATGCAGCAATAGATGACTAGTACATATTTAATAAAGGAAACATTCCTTTTCTATATTTTTTCTAGCTTCCAAGAATTCATGATAATTTCAATATCAAGGGCGCCTCTCTTCTTATTCTTGAGCTTTGACTATGAGTCATAGATTGGGCAGCCATAGGTCCCCGTTTTGTCCGAGCATAATTATCAACAGCACCCGCCATTCACTATCACAAATGTCCTGGTTACTAACAAACGGCACCGTTATCCTATCTGTAGATAAATATGTCTTTGATGTGGTGTTTTGGGGGCAAGAGGAGGAAGCAGGCACACAAGCTTGGTTCTATGTCTTGACTCAGTTCCTTCCAGGAATGATGGTTGAATGAAGAACTGAACTCCCAGTGATGGATAGTGTGCCTAAGCATGGTGACA